GGGACTTACAAATATGATTTGGAAACTGTTCCATCATTTCAGCAACTTATGACAACCAGGCTGTCAGCAAAGCTTTCCAATTTGGTAGAAGACACTGACCAGTGGCAATTCACCTTACTTGGCTATTCTAAGGCCTGTTTCCTAGGAATAGCTTCGTAGCTGTCTTGTCCAGGAATGAAGAGTAAACTCCCTCATCCCTCAGGTGATGACTGAAGATGCTGGAGATTACAGCACTTTTGCTTTTGTCAGGCATTGATAAGCATGTCATCAAAATCCAAAGCAGGCTCCGCTGAAAGGATGCAAGGAAGTAGGTCTTTCAAGGCTGTTAGCTTTTGATTTCAAATGGCCACATGGGCTCAAAATCTGGTTGCCATTCTATCTGTTTTGGGCAGTGCTCCACATTGTTAGGGGCTTATTCCTGCTTGGATTAAATTTTCCACTTCACCCCTTTATGGTATGGAGATGAATGCTAATTTCCATACATTTTAAAATCCCTTAACTCCTCATTGCTTTATAGGAAAGCTCAGTAGCAAAGTCCAAGGTGGGATTATGTTTATTCCTTCAACAATATTTATGGTAACAATTTTCCATTTATTCATTTATTCAATAAGTCTTGATATATATATTTACTACAGTCAAATGCTTTGGGGACAGAGATGGCTTATACAAGTCTGAAAATGAGATAGGATGGTATGTCCTTTATTTTTTCTTTCCTTTTGGTGCTAGAGATTAAAGGCCTCTGGATGCTAGGCACAGGCCTACCCCCGAACTACACCCCGAGGCCTCAGAATGGTATCTTTTTTGTTTGCTTTTTTTTTTCAGAAAAGGTCTCCCTATGGCCTCAGCTGGCTTGAAACTCTGCTATGTAGACCAGGCTGTTCTCAGTCTTAGGGATCTGCCTGCCTCTGCCTCCTGAGTGATGGGATTAAAGGCCCAGTCAGAACAGTATCCTTTTAAATGGGTGCATTTATATGTTAAAACTTTAAGGTATACAGAATTTGGAATACTGTGTCTGTTTTATAATGGAGTCTAGAGTTGATTCTTAGATACTCACATTCTTTGTTCTGTTTCTTTTCCTTTCTTATTCTTGACTGCACCCCTTGCCATGTTCATCTCCAACCTTGAGGATTGGTAATTCATAATAACAATTCCAAATTACACTAGGCTTGGAATTGGAATCTTTTGTCTGGGGAAAAGCAGTCTTACTCAGCATACACTTTGAAAATAAAGGTTAAGAATGTACTTCAAATTAGTCTCTTCTGATCATCAAATATTTCACATTTAGGATGTGTGTATTGAGGCTATGGAATTCTGTGGGAGAAAAAATATTTGCATAGTACTTAGGAATCTATGTGCAATTAAACTAACCACGCATAGGTAACTTGTATTTGATCATTTCAACTTTTGAATTCTTGCTTTCAACTTTTACTGTATCATGATTAAAACGTGGAACTAAGCAGATCCACAGCAATAGCTGTTAAGACACTGATTTCACATGACATTCTCTGCAGTAAGACTGTATTTTCTCATACAGTCACACACCTTTAAGAAAAAATTTGTTGTGCTGTAGGAGTAAGAACACATTAACTAAAAAAGTGCTGTATCTCTATAACTTTTTTAAAATGTTCAGTTTTTAGGAGCTAGGGAGATAGCTTACTCAGAACAATGCTTGTCTTGCAACCATGAGAAATTTAGAGCTTGATCTCCAGCACCTGGGTAAAAAGTCAGTCATGGTGGCGGTGTGCTTGGAATTCTAGCACTGGGGAGAAAGAGACAGAAGGATCTCTGGGGCTTGCTGGCCAGTCAGTCTAGCCTGATTGGTGAGTACCAAGCCAATAAAAGACCTGTCTCAAAGGAGGTAGAAGGTGTTTTTAAAAATGATGCCCATGGTTGTCCCCTGGCCTCCACATATACACACAAATGCACACATAAACATGCATAAATAAATGCTCAACTTTTTTTTTAAAAGAACGACTGCACAAGGCGGCAAACTTTATGGCTTCATTGTACAACAGGGAAGGCCATACCCTTTTGCCTGCTCACCCCCAAACTTTTAAATTGCTATTACTCTGAGATTCCTGGTAACTCCCTCCATGATTTCCATGTGAACTTTTGAAGACAATATAATCAGGGAAACTGTTTCTTTTCTAAACGGAGATACCATTATAAAATGCTCAACTAAAAATGTAACAAAATGACAATTTCTGGGGCTGATGATATATCAGTGATAGAGTACATGTTAAACACACACAAGGTATTGGTTCAATTTTCTGCACCAAGAAAACAAACCAAAAATTAAAAACCTTTAGTAAGTAGGACTATTAAATTCTGTTGCTTTAGTTCAGATGATGTTAAAACAGTTTACAAGACAACTGGGGAAAGATTTATAACCCTTCCTAGGTTTTAGTTTTAAAACTCATATTCCTTTATGGGCCAGGTTTATAAAAATGGCAGCTACTGAATCTGATATTAAAAACAAGGTGGCTCACATCCTTTGTGGATTAAAGCACAGACAAATAGAATTGGAACATCATGACCATGCTTCCTCAGTCTTCCCCATTTATAATATTTCCCTTACACAGAGAAGTCTTGCAAATTGCCCCTAATTGCTCATGATTCTTTTCTTTTGTATATATGCATGTTTATATGTGCATACATTTCATGTGAGTATATATGTAATTAACATTTACAGTTCACATGTTTTAGCCTTTTTTTCCATATGCTGAGGCGGGAATGGTTATATACTTCATGGAAAGGGTTAACTTGCTCTTAGGAGGAAATGATGACACTTGTAACCTAGCGCTCTGGCTTTAATAGTGTTAATTAATGCTATCTTTCATACACAAGCTATATGCATGTTTAATAAATGCTACCTTTCTTCACATACATAGGAAGTCAAAGTTGAGGTTACTGATGTTGGCTAGCTTAGTTCTAGTACCAGAAGAGAAGATCATTCTGTAGAGATCTGTGGATGAACTCAAGCACAAGCTACAAAAGTGAACCAGCTACTTCAGGCTCTTGGCTGTCTCCATGCCTAGGGATGAGAGATGACTGGCAGTAACGGAGAGAATGAACTATGTAACAATCTTTTTTGGCAGTAAGTTGGCTTTAACCAGTTTCTTTTTTGGCATAGTAACAGGGACAATAGTTTTCAAAATTTAGCAAACACGAAGTAAAAAATAGTGTAAGCCATTGTAGGTAAATATTTTGTGGTAATTACACATTTAATATTTGTATTAGGTTCAGGGCACAACAAAAAAATCTGAGAAAGTTGCATTAGATAAATGTTTTAGGGCTGTATGTATGTAGGCTAAGTGTCAAGGTCCTTGTCTCATACTGCACGAAACCCTGGGTTCCATCCTGAGCAGCATGGCTCCTCTCTCTCTCTTCTTTCTCTCTCTCTCTCTCTCTCTCTCTCTCTCCCCTGCCCTCTTTCACACACACTTTCATCTAATTAATGCAGTAATTACACAATGAAATTATCTGTAAGCTACATATTAATATCAAAGTGTTTATATCATATAATCTACCTTATATATTTCATTCTTTTAAATTACATTGCAGCACTAAGTTTCAGTAAATACTGTTACAAATTGATTTTAAGATTTATTTTATGAGTGGCGGCTTGCATGTATGCACGTGCACCATGTGGGTGCCTGGTGCCTTTGTCTCTCTGTAGCTCTGCTTCTCTCTCTTTTTGGTTTTTTGGAGACAGGGTCTCCCTGTAGCCCCAGTTGGCTTGGAACTCATTATGTAGACTAGGCTGGCCTTAAACTCAGAGAACCACCAGCCTCTGCCTACTGATTGCTGGGATTAAAGGTGCGCACCACCATGCCCAGCTTGCCTCTGTCTCTTAAGAGTGGCATGAACTACTATATCTGGCAAAACTTTTTTTTTATTAAAGGGGGAAAAAGGTAAAACTAGAAGCTGTCCAGAGGTTTTGATTCCATACTAGCTTATTGGAGACAACACAGAATGAAAACTTGACCCATTGTATTGAACGTCTGGTTGGAGAGAACATTGGACTATGTTAAAGGACCCGAGATAAAGAGCAAATTTGTAATGGCTATTTAGTGTTGATGGACGAAAAATACCTGTAGCATGAAGAATTTTCTCTGGCGCTGACTAGGGGGTCTTGGAAGCGCTTTCACGACTGACCAGGTGTAGTTCTGCCCTCTAGTGGATGCAGGTGAGACGCGACGTGGGTTAAAAGGCTACCTGTGCTCACTAAGCTTAGCAACTATGCATCAAAACCCACTTATTAGAGGCTCGCGTGATGTCCTAAGTGAAAGGTTAACATGGAGAAAGGCATAGCGGCCAACGCTCATGCTATCTTCATGTTCGATGGCAGGACGACTGGTTTCTAGTTGCTCCAGCTTCTCTGGTTCCGAGCATGCGAAAGAAAAAGGTCGAGTCCTTCCTGCAGTTGCCACTCTGAACCTTGACCTTTCATGACATATGGGCTTTGGAGCACACTCCACCAGGGCAGAATTTTGGGAACTGGCCGCATGATGACCCGCCCTTGCAACAAGAGCGAAAGAAACAACCAGAGCAGGTGTTGGCAAGGGAGGGTGCGCCCGGTGAAAAACACGACTGGCGTCCCGGCGTCTCGGCTTCCGACTGGAAACCGGCGGCTCTCCGCGTAGTGCGCAGAGATTGTGACGGCCGCCAGACGGGAGAGGCTTTCAGCGCTGTGTGGACAGCGCTCAGACGCGTGCGGGGCACGGCCATGACGTCCGTGTGGCTCGATCCCATGGCCGCCTCGAGGGAACGTGTGGCCGGCACTCACGCCCGGCGCGTGTATAAAAAACCGGCAGGCGCCGTTCCGACAGCCATCGGGGAGCCGCCAGCGCCTCGCGCCGTCCTCACCCGGCTTCTCAGGCCCTCACAACGTCCATTCCGGGGCCCACGGGCTTGGGCTCACTGCACTTCCGCTTACCCTTCCCGAGAGTGCGTGTGCGCCTGCGCGCGCGCCTCTCTCGCCGGAACTAGTAGCGACAAAGCTCGGTAGGCGGCCGGCCGGGTAGTGCAGGGCGCGCCGGGGTTGCCTGCGGCGGCGAGGGGCGGAGCGCAGGAGGCGGAGGCGGGAGCTGAGCTGCGCTACCGCCCGGAGACGCGGGGAGCCGGCGGGCCGAGCGTGACGGGCCCCCCGCCGTCGCCCTCCTGCTCGCTCTTCGCAGGACACCGCCGGGCTCCGTGTGGCGCCGCCAGCAGCTCCTGTCCGCTCAGGCGCGCGGGGCGGCCCTGCAGCCCCGCGAGTGAGTCTTCGCAGCTGGGAGGAAGGGGAGAATTCCGGGTATCCACTCCTGCCCCCATTTCTAGAAACTTCCAGGTCCCGTGGAAGGGGGCGTCAGGGGATGCCCGGGCTGTAGGGCGCCGCTGGGGCTCCGCCCGGCTGGTGTGAGCTGCGGGCATCGCGGGCGGAGGGACTGGCTCGGGCTCTTGGGGACTGCGGGATCCGGTGGTGGCGGCTGGGCGGGGGTCGCCCTCCCCGTCCCCGGTCGTCAGTGCCGCTTCTGGTTTCTCTTGCAGATGCTGCTGCTTGGGGTGGTGGGAGCAGCCGTGGGACGCGTGGCCGGGAGAGGGGGTGACAGCCTGGGATTCCGGGGTCTTCTCTTCCTTGTCCTCTCCTCTCTATTCCCAGTGTGGCCGTGGCTGACACTAAAGACTTTGTAGCCATCAACCCGAGTGCAGTTTCGATGGAAGATGAAGGTAAAGGCCCCTGGCAAGATGGGTTTATAACGCAGAGTTGAGGGTGTGGTGGTTTTGCTTTTTAAGTTGACTGTCTTTTTCCACCTTTTCATTTTTTTGTGATTTTACTGTATTTTTTTTTCTTTGCCTGGGAGGTGTCCAAGGACGTGCTTTCCTAAGCATCCAGCTTTTCTTTTGATAATATGGGCATTGCGGGGATTAAGCTTCTGCGGGTGACAGCTTGATTCTGCTTTCCTGGGAAATTATTTTCTTTGGCGAAGGGAATGGAAGGGAAGTTCTCATTTTAGATAGCATCTGTGCATGCCCGTGTAGCTTTGAAAGGAGTCACCCGAGGGGAAGTGGAATGGAAAGAGAATATTTGCATATTAAGCTTTGTTATGATGTCTGACTGGATTCACTTGTAAAAAAGAATTTTTTGTTCTAGCATTGGAAACACACATTGTTTTTTTTTTGTTGTTGTTTAACTCAAGAAAAAGCAACTTCAGTGTAATGAAATCTTGTGAGGCGATTTCCCTTCTTAAAGTTACTCCTTATTTCACAACATCATTCAGAGGAGGTTGACAGTGGAACCTGTTTGTCCATGTCACACATTGTATTTGGATGTGTTAGATTGTCACATGGTACTTGATTGCTTTGACCTTATTAAAATAATGCTTCATACATAGCAATGATAATTTCAAAATGTTCAATAATTCTGAATAAATGATTTTTACCTCCCCTTGAACACAAATGTATTTATTGTTTG